ACCACTTTGACAAATGTCATTTCTAATCCATAACTTTTCCAAATTTCCAGTAGTAAAAAACCTTTTTTCAAAATCTGGTAAATATGGGTCCTATTCAACTACCACATCGCACGTAAGGAAACAACCGTTTCGTCTACTAACACTTAAACCTCTTCAAGAACATTCCAGATATCATCAAATGCACTCTTATTCCTGGTGACGGCGTAGGTCCTGAGCTTATTCTCTCCGTGCAGGAAGTTTTCAACGCTGCTAAAGTCCCTATCACATTTGAACCTCTCTTTTTCTCCGAAGTGAACCCTTCTTTGAGCACCCCACTGGAAACAGTCGCCGAATCGATTCGCAAAAATGGCGTTTGTCTTAAAGGAATAACTGCATATCCTGACTATAGCCGCACCGGCGAACTCCAGAACCTCAACATGAAACTGCGACAAACTCTAGACTTCTATGCTAACGTCGTCCACGTGCAGTCTCTTCCGGGAGTAAAAACAAGACACAACAATCTAGATCTGGTAGTCATAAGAGAACAAACAGAGGGCGAATATTCCGCCTTGGAGCACGAAAGTGTCAAAGGTATGGTAGAGTGTTTGAAGATCGTGACAGCGAAGAAATCACGAAGAATTGCGAAGTTTGCATTCGACTATGCGACGAAGAATAAGAGGAAGAAAGTGACTTGTGTTCACAAAGCCAATATTATGAAGCTAGGGGATGGTTTGTTCTTGAAGTGTTGTGAAGAAATGTCTCTTCTCTACCCCAGACTGGAGTTCAAGTCCATGATTATCGATAACTGTACCATGCAACTGATCACAAAGCCGGAACAATTTGATGTGATAGTTGTGCCCAATTTGTATGGGAGCATTCTTGATAATTTATGCTCGGGATTGGTTGGAGGCGCAGGAGTGGTGGCTGGAGCTTCGTACTCAGCAAAGAGTGCCGTGTTTGAACCGGTAACGTCCCACATATTTACTGTCGCAACCGCAGTAGTCACTTTCGTCTACTATATATTGTTACAGGGTGCCCGTCATACTTATTCGGAAGCTGTTGGCAAGAATGTAGCTAATCCCACTGCGATGCTTCTGTGCTCTGTACTCCTTCTGCGTCACGTCAATCTTACTTTTTACAGTGAGATGATTAGTAATGCTGTGAGAAATGTTTTGAAAGAGGGAAAAATACGAACTAAAGACATTGGGGGCCATTCGAGCACTCATGATTTCACAGGCGCTGTTATTAATAAATTACAACTTACACCACCGAAGACCAAAGGTTGAGAGACTTCGATTTTTTTCTACTTTGAAGACAAATATACGACAATATTAAGCGAAAAGAATACGAATACTGAACGTCGGTCACAAACAAACGTGTATTTGTAAAACACAATAAAATTTAGTGACATTGTATTCAACAGTTGGTAACACATCTTTAACTGATCATGATTATTACACAGGGTAATACATTCTGATTTGTTAAAATGTTATAACTTTACTATACTAGATTTTTGAGGCATCCTATGTAAGAATTAAAAGAAAACATGGATTGAGGCACCAATAAAGGAGCAAATTATACTGTACATATTGAAGTTATCAAGTTTTTTCAAAAACATTAATACCAACGTACATTTTTTAATATTTTAGCAAAAATATAGTACATGTATAAGAACAAAACTGAGGGGCGGATTTATAAACAAGAATAATATTTTATAAAATTTTAATAGGATTTATCTACCTAGTAATATTTTGAGATCACATCATCAAATTTTTGGTGGAGATGGCAAATTTGTTGGAAAACCTAATTGAAATTTAAATTGATGTCAAATTGTGTCTATCACGGCATCTGTTTAAATAAACGTGAAAAGTGAGTTTACAATTTTCAAAATTTTTCAAAAAAAAAAGTTAAAATGAGTTCAATCGACTAAGACCTTAAATTGTAGTCTTTCGGCAATTACAAATCCGAAACTGCCATTACGTCATTATTCAAATAAATGTGAAAAAAAACAATTTCCAAATTTTTTGCAAAAAAATGGTTACAGTGGGTTCAACCTACTGAAAATTGGCATCAAATTATAGAAAATCTTTCGCTAATTATGGTTAAAATGGACTCATTCACCCGAGAATTGGTATCAAGTTGTAGATAGTTTTTCACCAGTTACGAATCAGAAGTTGCTGTTACTACATCTGCTCAAATAAACGTAAAAAGTGAGTATACAATTTTCAAAATTTTTCCAAAAAGTGTTTACAATGGGTTCAATCGATCGAGATTTAGTGTTAAATTCTAGATAATTTTCCGATAGTTACAAATTCCGAAATCGCCATCACGACTTTATTCAAATAAACGAGAAAAATGAGTTTACAATTTTCAAATTTAAAGAAAAAAACTTGTTAAAATGGGTTCAATCGACTAAGACTTTCTGTCAAATTGTAGAAAATCTTCCGTCAATTACGAATCCGAAGTCGCCTCGACGACATCTATTCAAATAAACGTGAAAAATGAGTTTACAGTTTTCAAAAATTTTCCAAAATAATGATTAAAATTGACTCATTCGCCCGAGAATTGGTATGAAATTGTAAATAATTTTCCGCCAAATACGAATCAGAAGCCATTGTTACTGCATCTCCTCAAATAAACGTGAAAAGTGAGTATATAATTTTCAAAATTTTTCCAAAAAAGTGATTACAATGGGTTAAATCGATCGAGATTTGATGTCAAAATGTGGATCATTTTCCAATAATTGCAAATTCCGAAATCGCCTTCATTCAAATAAACGTGAAAAATGAGTGTACAATTTTCAAAATTTTTCCAAAAAAATAATTAACATGGGTTCAGTTGACTACGAATTTGTGTCAAATTATATATAATCTTCCGCTAATTACGAATCCGAAATCGTTATCACCAGTTGTATTTAAATAAATGTCAAAAATTAGTTTATAATTTTCAAACTTTTTCCAAAATAATTGTTAAAATGGACTCATTCACCCGAGAAATGGTATCAAGTTGTAGATAATTTTCCGCCAATTACGAATCAGAAGTTGCTGTTACTACATCTGCTCAAATAAATGTGAAAAGTATACAATTTTCAAAATTTTTCCAAAAAAGTGGTTACAATGGGTTCAATCAATCGAGATTTGGTGTCAAATTGTAGATAATTTTTCGACAATTACAAATTCCGAAATCGACCTTTATTCCCATAAACGTGAAAAATGAGTTTACAATTGTCAACATTTTTCAAAAAAAAATAGTTAACATGGGTTAAATTGACTCAGAATTGCTGTTAAATTATAGATAATCTTCCGCTAATTACGAATCGAAAGTCACGGTAGCGTTATTTATTTAAATAAACGTAACAATTTTCAAATTAAAAAAAAACTTGTTAAAATGAGTTAAATCGACTGAGACTTTCTGTCAAACTGTAAAAAATATTCCGTCAATTACGAATTCGAAATCTCTATCAGGATTTGTATTTAAATAAATGTGAAAAGCGTATTTATAAGTTTCAAAATTTTTCCAAAATAATGGTTAAAATGGACTCATTCACCCGAGAATTGGTATCAAGTTGTAGATAATTTTCCACCAATTACGAATCAGAAGTTGCTGTTACTACATCTGATCAAATAAACGTGAAAACTGAGTATACAATCTTCAAAAATTTTCCCAAAAATCGTTAAAATGCTTAAAATGGTTCAATCAACTAAAATTTGGAGATAATGTTCTGTCAGTTTATAAATCCGAAGTCTACGACATGACACTTCGTCAAATAATCGTGAAAAGTGACTACACAATTTTCAAAATGTTTCCAAAAAAATAGTTAACATAGGCATTGACTGACTATTAGACTTATGAATCCGAAGTTACGGTGGCGATATTTATTCAAATAAAGGTGAAAAATTAGTTTTTGCACTCATGATCTTTTTTGATGGCTTTCGTGCATTCACCAGGGTGCGGGAGTTCGAACTTCCCGCACACGTGCATTTAACTTCCCGTTGCCATGGTAACCTTAAAATACTCGCGTAGTGTCAACATTGTGATGTGTTGACGGCGCCATTGTTTATAAATAACTCACAGTTAATTTCTTCAGTTTAAAGGTTTATTCGTTGCAAAAAATATTGTACACAACACGTTCGTGAGCCTGCTTCCCGCATTCACGCAAATGCGGCACTCCCTTCGGTCGTGCCGCAAACAAGCGTTCATGCGGGAAGCAGGCTATCCCGAACTAGTTGTGTAAATTACTATTACAATTTTCAATTTTTTTTTTAATCTGGTTAAAATGGGTTAAGTCGACTGAGGCGTTGTGTCAAATTGTAGAAAATCTTTCGTCAATTTCGAATCCGAAATCGCCTCCAGGACATCTATTCATATACAGGGTTAGTCACGAGAGAATTACTTCTGAAAATTATTTTTACGCAACCCAAAATACGAATACCATGTACCATTTGATACTAACTGAATTTAAAATGAAATGCTTAATCCATGATTGCTTTGAGTTTGACAATCTCATTTTGACAATTGTGGAAAAGGAGGTTACGCGAGTGTCAATGGTGGTACCGCAGCCAGTCGGAAATCTCCTCCGGCGCCGCTAATAAATTTGTCAGTGTGCCTCTTGATCTTTTGCAACCGATTAATCACGAGAAAATTATTTCTAAAAATTCCTTTTACGGCATTTTATTCAAAGATTACAACACAAACTCAAACAAGTAAGTAAATAATTTAACTACTAATCTGTTGAAAATGTTGGGCATTTTGGGGGGATGCTACGGCTTTTTTGTAAATGGATGGCCGAAGAAGTCCAGAGGTTGCAGATTTGCATTTCGAAGAGGCTCTAGGTGACGCAGAGATGGCGAATTAACACATGCACATTAGCGGGGGACAACATTGGTAGAGCACTTACGGCTTCAGTATAGCCCAGATTGATCTGACTGTATGTCGTCGATCCAATGGGGCTCTAGAGGCGAGTCAACGATGAAAAAAATGTTAAAAATTAATTAACGTCAAAGTGACACTGCCAAAGTCAAAGCAATCATGGATTAGGCATTTCATTTTAAATTTAGATAATATCAAGTGGTACAGGGTATTAGTATTTTGGGTTGCGTAAAAATAATTTTCAGAAGTAATTCTCTCGTGACTAACCCTGTATAATATCCCGAGTGCATGTCAAATTGCCAACAATTTAATTTGCTCGAGTGCACGAAGTGCACGAAAGAAAATTAGGAGGCAATTTGACATGCCACGAGGGGTGTTCAAAGAACTATTTCCCGAACCAACTTCTTGTAAACAGCCCCACCCACTTTTATTTTGACGAATTGCGAAAATAGCAAGCCAAAATAAAAATTAAGTTGCTGAACCCATAATCTAACATTAAAATCAAATTGTTGTGGTGCGTCGTATCTAATAGAAACAACAGAAACAATAACAATCCGTAAACAAACATTAATTTTGTGTGTAAAATCATTACAAAAATGTGCGATCGTTTTGGAATCAGTTCTGTGCACGAAATCGACAAAAATATTGCAAATCTGGTTCCCCTGAATACCCAAAAATCGAGGTCTTCAGCTTGGAAACAATTTGAGAGTTTCTGCAGTGAAAGGAAATATTGTTTAAATGGAGACACAAATATAAAAGAATTGTCCAGGATAATGAAGGACTTCGGATTTAATATGAAGAAGCTAAATGGTGAAGACTATAAAGAGGAAGTTGTAAAGACTATGTGGAATACTGTGGCTAAACTGTTGCAGAAGAAATATTACGAAGAATATAGGGTATCGTTTGATCCGTTCACAGACGTCATATTTTCAAGCGCCCGAAAAGCACATGACGCAAAACGAAAAGAACTCCAGCGTGATATTGATAAAAGAAAACGTAGTGCAGCTAGTTTAACTCTCGAGGAACACGAGAACATTGTTGGTCTTTGGGATGAAGAAACACCAGACGGTCTGCAACGAAAATTTTATCACATAGCAGCATATGAACTTGCTTGGCGCGGCGGGGAAGCGGCTAAATGTTTGGTTACGTATTTCAAGGAAAAAAGAAATAATATTGGCGAGTTAACTGGACGTATAATCTACGATCCTATTTTTGAAAAAACAGCACAAGGTGGAGCCGGACGACTGTGCGAAAAGAAGTGGTTAACGAATAATCTGAAAAACTCTGATCGTTGTCCAGTTAGGTAGGTGTAATTTTGATTTTTTCAATAATTAGATATTAATGCAATTTATTTACTTACAGATTGTTTAGCAAATTGATGGACAAAAGAGGCAAAAATATTACCACTGATCGATTGTTTTTAACAGTGAATCCCTTATGGAAGAGTGCACATTCTGTTGGATTCTTTAAAAATTGCCCTATTGGAAGAAACCAAATTTCTACATGGACTAAGTCTGCTGCCCAGAAAATAGGATTGGATACGAAGAAAATTAAAATCACAAATCACTCCAATCGATCTACTGTGGTTTCTTGTTTAGCTAAAGCTGGTGTGGGAGAGCATCAAATAACTAAAATTAGTGAACATTCTAGTACCTCTTCAATTAAATCTTATTTATAGCTGGATAGCGACCATCATGTTACCTTAGTTGATTGTATGAGGCAAAATGAACAAGAAGAAACAGTAGGAGATAAGCCAGAGGAAAGTAAAAATTCCAAATATGTATATAACAATTGTACAATCAATAATTATTATAAATAAATTTTGTAAAATTATAAAATTGTGAAATTCGTTCATTAAGAAAAATTACCAAAAATTATCGGTAATTGCACTAGTGCAATTACCGATAATTTGCACTAGTGCAATTACCGATAATTTGCAAAATTATCGCCTAATTCGATTCTGATTGGTTGATTTATTTAAATTCAAGGCTTCTTATTAGCTTACATGATGTGAGGGAAATAGTCAAATCTAACTATCTATTAGTTTGTTGTGAAATTTTAGATATAATACATATTTAAAAAATATCCCGTAGCTGCTAAAACATTAAATACAATTTTCTTTTCATCCCCACCAAAAATATGATGACGTCAGCCCAAAAATTTTGCTAAATTAATCTTATCTTAAATGTACGAAATAATATGGGTCTATACTTGTGGTTTACGCTTAATCCACCACTAAAACTCAAAATGGTAACAAGTAACACAAAATTGAATATTTTACCTTAGAAACTACGACACCAATTATTCTGGGAATTTGTGCACTTTTTAAAGTAATCATGGACATAGTAAATTGCTAATCGCATTTGTTTGTTTTTCCTGTTCAAATCGTGCTTTCGAACATACAGTTTTTTATACATAGACTCCTGTTTTTAGAGTTAATCATAGAGGTGTCTCAAAAAAAAGTGAAAGAAGAAAAATCTCGGAAACCGACGGTGTTTTGTTTTTGAAAGAGCTTAAAAAATTGCGGATTTTTAATATATTTTTTTAACATGTGACAGAATCATCTTAGAAGTATTTTGTATTTTATTTTAAATTATTAGCTGTATATGAAATATCTTAAAAAAAATAATTCTCGTAGAGTCAGATGTTATAATTTGTCTAAGAAACTGAACCCGTTTTATTGCTTGTGCCACAAAAGCGATGAATGTTCTTTTTAAATAATATAATAATAACTTTAGATTTCAAAAACGCCAAAATAATAGCTATTTATTATACAAGTGTTTTATAAGGCGAATAAGTCGCGAAAGAAATGTTTAGCCACGAGAGCTTGCTCGAGTGGCCTAATTTTTCTTAAACGACTTATTTGCTGTTAAGACACGTGTGTAATACATAGTTTTATCCAACACCTCCTTCAGTAACAGTACTTAAAGCATCATGAAAATCCCAAAAATTCAATATCGTTAAAAGCTGGTAGCCTATGAATTGGTTACCGTGTGGTTGCCACGAGAAATTGTTTGTTTGCGTCAAATTGAGAAAATTTTTGAAAAAGAAAACGGCTTCTGCACTCGTCATATTGATCCAAATGGAAAGAAAACGTGCTCTTCCGGAAAGTATTGCGAAAGATGTTGAAGAAGCCACATCGAGTTTGTTACTAAAGAAATCCAGAGACGCTTATTACAAGGAATTAAATTACTTCAATAACTGGAAGCAAGAAAATAATGCTTCTGGTGTAAGCGAAGCGTCAGCTAAAGAGTTGCGGCCTCTTCAATGTGGACAAAATATTCCATGTTAAGAGCGCCATTAAAGCTTCACGAAAATGCTGATATTTCGCAATATGGCAGATTGATCGCTTTTTTGAAGAACGAATCTAAAAATCACAAGCCAAAGAAAGCAAAAGTTCACAAGACTACGTTGAAGAGTCAATTTCCAGCAAAAATGATTATTGCTAAAAAGATCCTGGGTGAAAATTCGAGAGCGGAAAGCAATGTTGAGAGTGAGAAGACAGTCACTGTTGAAATTGAGAAGACAAAACCAAACGAACGTGGGAACAACATTGAAGTGACAAACAAAGAAGCAAATAATGTTTTATCTCTCAATATAAATATTAATCTGAAGCTGGACAAATGATTCATATAATTCTAATTTTATGTATTAAACTTCTTTGTGTACAATAAATTGTTCAATTTTCTCTAAACTGTTTAATTATGAAAAAACAGTTTAATTATAAATTCATAATTCTACTAGTAACTTATGGGCCTTCTAATGTGTTCAAAATCGGCAATTTTATGACCTTATAATCAAGAGGTGTTGGATAAAAATTTAAATTACATTCTCCACTAGCGCGCCATCTACCAAACGTCGCCTTAATTTCGAGCTTCAAACACAGAAACCTGCGGTACATCCAGTAGTGACAAAAGAGAAATGCAAAAAAGCTTCAAAATGGCTGCCTGACTACCTGTAAACTTGTGTTTTTTACCCATAATCCGTAAACAAAACGTTTATTTTGCTAAAAAAAATTTTGAAAACACCAACATTGTAAACAGTTTTAGTGATAACATCGTCTGTGATTTTATTTGTGGCGGTTTTATTCACGATAAGTTTTTTAAATACCTGTGTCAATGCACTGATGTTGAGTACAGTCTGCGTTAAAAAATCCAGGTAAGAATTTAAATCATCACACGAATAAATTTTCAAAAATACCGTGTATAATTTATTGAAAACGTCACAAATTTAAATTAAAAGAAAACAAAGAGAAACGCAATTAACGTCAAAATTTGTAAAATTCATTCATTCAAGTTCAATGAATTCCTTTATGCAAGCCCAAAAAACAACATTCCTTCGAGCTAACTAAAAAATGTGCACTTTATTAATCAGCATGCTTGTTTTTATAAAAACCATTCAATTCTTAATTAAATCATATCAGTTTTCAAGGCTGCTTCATTACGCTTAATTGAGCCAGTCTTGATACGAAAACCTGCAATAACGAAAGTAAATAAAAGCTTGAAACGAGCATTTAATGAAGCTGCGATTCTTTTAATTAAATTTGTTTTGAAAACAAGGTTCAACTAATCAGAGATGAGTCACCAGTTAACTCAAACGAAACCCTGCAACGTTTCATCCCCCACATGTTACAGAGGGGTAAAACACCTAGGCCATAGAAATTTTTACGGTCGATACCGGCAAAACACCACTCAAAAAATAAAAGTTTGAGAGGTACTTGGAAAGCTTCTTTCTGGAAAGCCTTTGTTTTTACACCACCCCTCACATAAAACCGTTGTATAATGAGTTTTATTGCAGGCGAAATCCACTCCTGCTTTATCGTATGTAGTACAGTTTGCGAATTAGCGCCAAATGCATCGTGCTTTAGTGGAAATTTAACTCAGTTTGTGATAAGTGAGGACATTTTCGTAACACATTATTGTTTTGTTTTGTACTAGAGATGTATTAAGTTTCGAAAATGTCATTTTAACAGAGTGTTCTTTGTTTACTACTTTGCTTTGATGTCTCCGCTTGGAAAGTAAGTTTCAAACTTTTGATCTCGAGGGACGGATATATATTTATTTTTTTTTTTTTTTGGTTGTTCAAAGCAACTGGAAAAATAGCTTTGAAAAAGTTTTAGTCCATTAATATTTGCCTGATGGTCACAGGACATATCCGGAAAGTAATTAATTACCAAAGACAGACTTTCCTCTCGTTTGCACTTTGAAGCCACTCATCAGCGCCAAGTTTATGTATTTACTTTTATAATGGTTATACCTATCAGCGAAAATCCAAATCTTTTAAAAAATTATTCTGTAATCACTGCTTTCGGGACAGGTTTAATGAATATCGCAAGTGAGAGTGGAGCTTCAGAGAGAGAGCTCGAAGAAGAACTGTTTTTTTTTACGGCACATATATCTTATAAACGACACACTAGGAATGAAAAATGGTATTTTCTTTCTTTCTGGTACAAGAGCGATAACTGTAACTGCCACTTTTCCAGACCATAATCCAATACGTTAACATTTATTAATGTTACGTGTACTATTTGTAAATTATAAACATTTTAGCTGGTGCAGCTAACGATCTTGTGAAATTCCTTGTTGATTTGTGGGTATTACAATAATTTAAAGTAGGGATTAGTGAACACTGACTTTCCAAAAGTGTTGTAGGAAGCCCTTCATAAACCGTTCAGGGATATAATAGCGATGATTTGTATTATAATAACCCTGGCCTTGTGTGTGTCTTTGCACATCGAATTCATGGAATCTATGTCTCTTTCAAGCAACCAATAAACTTACGCGGATTATTGGGGCTTCCAGTAAACACGTGGAAAAAAAAACCCAATGTTTACTAATTCCTGGTGTCTGCTTTATAAATATAACCTGTATACAAAACTTTGTTAAGACATTACTATCAGTTCAGGGATTATAGAACATTACCAGAATTAATTTGTTTATCTAATAATTTGATTGTGTCATCTCGATAAATTATTAAATAAGTAGTTGTTAAAAAATCCTCTTCGAGATTGAGTGTTGATTGTGTTTGAAGAGTATACTTTTTACAGAGTGTTCTTTGTTTACTACTTTGCTTTGATGTCTCCGCTTGGAAAGTAAGTTTCAAACTTTTGATCTCGAGGGACGGATATATATTTATTTTTTTTTTTTTTTGGTTGTTCAAAGCAACTGGAAAAATAGCTTTGAAAAAGTTTTAGTCCATTAATATTTGCCTGATGGTCACAGGACATATCCGGAAAGTAATTAATTACCAAAGACAGACTTTCCTCTCGTTTGCACTTTGAAGCCACTCATCAGCGCCAAGTTTATGTATTTACTTTTATAATGGTTATACCTATCAGCGAAAATCCAAATCTTTTAAAAAATTATTCTGTAATCACTGCTTTCGGGACAGGTTTAATGAATATCGCAAGTGAGAGTGGAGCTTCAGAGAGAGAGCTCGAAGAAGAACTGTTTTTTTTTTACGGCACATATATCTTATAAACGACACACTAGGAATGAAAAATGGTATTTTCTTTCTTTCTGGTACAAGAGCGATAACTGTAACTGCCACTTTTCCAGACCATAATCCAATACGTTAACATTTATTAATGTTACGTGTACTATTTGTAAATTATAAACATTTTAGCTGGTGCAGCTAACGATCTTGTGAAATTCCTTGTTGATTTGTGGGTATTACAATAATTTAAAGTAGGGATTAGTGAACACTGACTTTCCAAAAGTGTTGTAGGAAGCCCTTCATAAACCGTTCAGGGATATAATAGCGATGATTTGTATTATAATAACCCTGGCCTTGTGTGTGTCTTTGCACATCGAATTCATGGAATCTATGTCTCTTTCAAGCAACCAATAAACTTACGCGGATTATTGGGGCTTCCAGTAAACACGTGGAAAAAAAAACCCAATGTTTACTAATTCCTGGTGTCTGCTTTATAAATATAACCTGTATACAAAACTTTGTTAAGACATTACTATCAGTTCAGGGATTATAGAACATTACCAGAATTAATTTGTTTATCTAATAATTTGATTGTGTCATCTCGATAAATTATTAAATAAGTAGTTGTTAAAAAATCCTCTTCGAGATTGAGTGTTGATTGTGTTTGAAGAGTATACTTTTTAAAAATAATTAATTAGTAGATTCATTTTATCGATTGCCTCAGGTTCATCTGATTTAGTAATAATTAGTATGCTATTGTAAATTCTAAAATTAATACATTTGTCCCCACCCAGAATATGATCAATTAATCAAATCCTCGCAAATGCTACTTTAAAGTTGGTTAATTTATTTTATTATTATTATAAAAACATTAATGGATATAATCTCTTCACGAGTTTGTCCTCTATTATACGATTAAACATTTAAGTCAATTTGTTCTATTAAAGTAATCCACAATATTGTTTTTAAGTTAAAATTTTAAATGAAAAAAAGTTACGTCTTCTTATAACTGAAGTCGTAACCTTGTGGCTGTTCCATCTTATATTAAATTTCCTCAGATTTTTTTTTATCGGGTGTTTAAAATCCATTTGAATTTGTAAGTTTGTTTTCTCAAAATTTGTATATCGGGTGATTTTTAAAAATTTCAGCGCCAGTTGGCCATGCCGCTTACGTCAGCCGTTTGAATTCCACAGCTGACGTACGCGTCATGGCCAACTTTTAAAATTTAAAAAACCACACGGTCCTTTATGTCAGGATGATCCATATTTAAATAGGAAAATTTAATGTCTCAAATGATTTTTTTCGATGTTTCCAGCTTTTTTTAAACAGATAATCTACAAAACTATCGGACCAATTGTTGTCAAATTTTGAATGTATATTAGGAATATCATGTAGATGATAAAATGCTGACAAAAATTTGTCTAATCATCCCCACCACCAATGCGATGACGTCATCTCCAAAATTTACAATAGTATATGTTATTTAAATTTTATAAGAGCACATACTCCTCCATCTCTAGTTTATGAATCCGTGTTTATATTATGTAACAACATTTTACAATTTTACTTTGAAATTGCAAAACGAATTGTTCTAAAATGTTGCAAATGTTTTAAGGTTACCAGAAACATATAAATCGTTAATCAAAATGTATCTGTTTATATAAATCCTACATGAAATATGCAAAAATATGAAGTCTTTACTTGTGATTTATTTTTCCCTTCATATTTTTTACTTCTAATACAGAGTACGACTCAATTTATTTTATTGATTCAATCAGGGACGGCTCACTCCATTTCCACGAAAATTTAGGAATATTATATATTGTTATTATTATAGTGCTCCTATCCAAATTAATACTAGTGTCTTTGCAAAATTTTGTAAAGAACAAGTCCATCGGCCGAATTGCCACTTTCATATTTTCTCGACCTCTAGATTACGAAAAAAGTGGTCTCCCGTTTCCGTCTGTCTGTCTGCCTGTCTGTCTGGTGTCTATATCCATTTTTATTAGACAAGTAATCTCTGAAATTACTGGACCGATTGTTCTCAAATTTGGTATGTACGAGGTAAGCGCCAAATATTCTCGGCCTAACAAAGAAAGAGACCTGATGGAAAAAAATTAAATATTTATATTTCAACATAATCTCTGTTAACTTCAATACATTCAAAACTACGTTCAACTAACAGCTCTATCCGTTTAAAAAAATTATTTGAATCTTTATCACTAAAATGATGTAGTACTGCCGTTTGCACTTCTTTATCCGTCCCAAACGTTTTCCCTGCAAGTCGTTTTTTAACTTAGAGAACAGTTAATAATCGTTCGAAGTTAAGTCAGTACTGTAGGGTGGGTGCTCAAGTTACTCGAAGTCACAGGCCCCTATAGCAGCTTGAGAAAGACATGCGGTATGAACGGGCGCATTGTCATGAAGCAATCGAACGCCTCTTGCTAATTTTCTCGGCCTTTTTTCCCAAATACGTTCTCCTAATTTATGCAATAAGTAACCATAATATGTAGCGTTGACAGTGGTATTTCATCCTTTAAAATTAATCAACAACATGCCTTTACAGTCCCAAAAAATTGTGGCCATGATTTTTTTGGAAGATTGATTCGTCTTCAAGGGTTTCTTACCCCATGCGAAATAACTGTAATCATTTTTTTTAGTAAAATGTGAAGGACAAGCTTCAGCAAACACAAAAACCATCCTGCCCTTAATACCCTTTAGAG